CTGGGCAAAATCCTGGATCGTCCCATGAAACCGCTGGTGCCCAAAAAGTTCGGTGAGCGCTCGAAAATGTAGCTGGAACTTTAACGGCCAATTTTCAACTTTGGACTAAAAAATTGGCGTCCATCTAGCGACGAAACGGGTGAACTAAACCTAAAAAATGTGGGTCCGATCAGGCTTATAAGGAAAATAATAGAATGAATATTTCGGCACTTTGACGACGTAGTGTGATTCCTGAGGCATTTAGAAACAATTTTTTATTAGGGTTTGATGCGTTTTGATGCCTCATAAAGCCAGAAAATCAATTTTTGTAGAATTCGGTCGAAAACGGTACAGGTGGCGCCATCTAGCGGCGAAAGTTGGAACTACGAAAAACTAAAATATCGATTTTCTCGAAAACTAGGGGCTTTTCCGAAATTCTGAGATATACAAATTGTTCCTTGTCGCCTACGGAATCGAACGAATCTAATTATAGCCTGCTAGGACCATTATTAAAGGAAATAGAAAAATAGCCCATTTAATGGACTAAAAAATTGCCGTCCATCTAGCGGCGAAAGTTGGAACTACAAAAATAGAAAATCGAGATTTTCTCGAAAACTAGGGACTTTTCCGAAATTCTGAGATGTACAACTTGTTCCTTGTCGCCTACGGAATCGAACGAATCTAATTATAGCCTGCTAGGACCATTATTAAAGAAATTAGAAAAATAGCCCAATTCATGGACTAAAAAATTGCCGTCCATCTAGCGGTGAAAGTTGAAACTACAAAAATATAAAAATGCGACTTTCTCGAATAGTAGCGAACTTGGAGAAATTCTGAAGCTGAAAAAGTGTTATGTGATCGCATTTGAACCAAAATAAAGCAATAACAATTTCCTGAAAGCTTTAATAAAGAAAATAAAAAAAATGTTATTTTATGAGGAAAATAAAAAAAATGTCATTTTATGGGAAAAAAATAGTGGCGCCATCTAACGGCGAAACTGCTATCTATACTGAAAAATGTATATCCGAACATGCGTTAAGGAGTAATATAAAAAGTAATATTGCGACGTACTATGTTTCTTTAGACATTTTAAAGCAAAGTTTGTTGAATAAGTTATACATTTTTTTGCGTATTAAGCCCTCAAAATCAATTTTTATTTGATCCCTTTGCTGCGTGATCGACCCTACATTTTTCCAGTTTAGTTCGCAGTTTCGCCGCTAGATGGCGCCACAAATTTTCTCCATAAAATGACAGTTTCTTTATTTTCTTTATTAAACCTTTCAGGAAACTTTTATTGGTATATTTTTGTTCTAATGCGATCACATCACACTTTCTGAGCCTCAGAAGTATTCGAAACTCGCTAATTTTCGAGAAAATTACATTTTTATATTTTTGTAGTTCCAACTTTCGCCGCTAGATGGACGGCAATTTTTTAGTCCATGAAATGGGCTATTTTTCTATTTTCCTTAATAATAGTCTTAGCGGGCTATAATTGCACTCGTTCGATTCCGTAGGCGACAAGGAACAATTTGTATATCTCAGAATTTCGGAAAAGACCCTAGTTTTCGAGAAAATCGGGATTTTCTATTTTCGTAGTTCCAACTTTCGCCGCTAGATGGACGGTAATTTTTTAGTCCAT